ATGGGATACCCGCTGCAAAGAGTTCGTTTTTTGAAGAGTTTAGTTTAAGACCAGAAATTTGATGAAAATGATCAAGAACATTTTGGACACCAACCACCGAATCAACATTGTCTTTGCAGAAAATCATGAGGCCGTCTGCGAAGGAAAGGTGAGTTAGCCCAATCTTCTTACACTTAGGGTGGTAAGCAAAGATGCCTTTAGCAGCAGCCAAATTGAGCATATTAGAAAGGACGTTCATTGCTAAAACGAACAAATAAGGGGAGATGGGGTCCCCCTGTCTGAGCCCTCTAGCTCCTTTGAAATAACCAGTTAAAGATCCATTGAAGGAGATAGAATAACTAGCTTGGGTGAAGCAAATTTCAATTCAATTAATGGAAATATTTGGGAATTGAAGGGCTCGGAGGATTGATAAGATGAAACCCCAATGCAAGGAGTTGAAAGCCTTATGAAGATCTATTTTCATTGAGCACCTTGGAGAAATAGCTTTCCTACCATATCCTTTGACCATTTCTTGAGCAAGAAGAGAATTGTCAATAATGTTTCGTCCTCTAATAAAAGCAGTATGATTCATGGTAATAATCTGAAGGAGGTAAGCATTCATTCTATTGACAAGAATTTTAGTGATGGCCTTATAGATAACTGATCAGCAAGAAATAGGCCAAAAGTCCTTGACAGCACTGGGATTGAGAATTTTAGGAACAAGGGCAATAATAGTGGAGTTAAAAGACGGATGAATAAAAGCATTGCTGAAAAAAAATTTGATAGCTGACATTACATCATTGCCCACAATAGCCCAGGATATTTGAAGAAGTAGGGAGTGAATCCATCCGGTCCAGGGGTTTTATCGTTGCCTTGGCAAAAGATTGCATTTTTTATTTCCTCTTCAGCAATTTCCTTCACGAGGTTAGAAGAAGCTTCAGCCGGCATGGAAAAATTAAGGAGGTTTTTGAGAAGAGCAGGATCTGTGTCTTTGACCATAGGGTCTGAAGTACCAAGAAGCTTAGAGAAGAAAAAAACTTCTTTAGACATGTCTTCATAAGTCTCAAGTCTGTTCCCATTGTCATCCGCTAGAACTCTTAGAGTGTCCCTCTTATTTTTAAAGACTACAATCGAGTGGAAAAACTTGGTGTTTCTGTCACCATCTCTCATCCAATGTGCTTTAGCCTTTTGCTTAAGAAGATTAATATCAGCCTCTTCAAGGATTTTCAGCTGATCTTGTAATTCGAGTTCTTTCTCAATGTTCCTACTTTCAACCTTGTAAACAGGGCCGAAACCGCCTTCTCCGATCTTGTTTTCCTCGGAGAAGTTGCTCATTGCAGCATGAATGGTAGCTAAATCAAACTGAAGCATCTCATCGTCTTGATCCTCATCTGATAGATTAATACCCAACTCCATCAAATGTGGAGACTCTGAGGAACGATACCTTCCTAGTAAAATCTTTTGTTTAGTTCCTTCATCTGAGTATTGAGTCACAATGTTCAAAATATTTAAGAAATCAATATATATATATATGTCATATAGCCTGAAAAGATAAAGGGAAATTACCTTTAAAACGTCTTCTTCTTCTCTGATACAGAAAAACAACTAGAGCTGCAACAACTAAAACGCCTGCTAATGATGATACGATGATTATTATGATCCTTGTTGTGCTATTGCCCCCCTCTCCTGCTTTTAAGTCGACCAAAACACCACGCATGAGTATACCGTGTTGGATATATACTTGTTCCCGATGTTGATACTTGAGTCCAAGTAACATAGTCTACGAAATAAGCCTGTTTGACTTACCTTCATTTGCCGGTGGTTGATCGGATATCGGGTTCGTGTCATACCTCAAATAGCATGTTGGATTCAGAACTTGCCACCCTGTTTTGTCCATGCAGCAAGCCTCGGTTCGGTTCAACAAATCTCTCAAACAAGTAGAACAATAACTAAAAGTAAGATCTTTGCTGCACTGTGCCCTGCCATATCGACGTCCCGATCCATCTCGCGCATCTAACCCGCCTTCGGCCGACATATTCGCAGAAAATATAGCTTGTTCAACTAGAGAATAAACAAAGCCTCGGGTACCGATATCTCCTTCGGGAGGTGAAGTGGTGTTCCCAGGATTCCACCTTAAATAGAATGGTTCGAGCGTAGCTTGTCCGAATATCTTACCATGCATAGTTCGAACCACATGATTGCTCCTTTCATCAGGACAGTATTGTTGGACCTGTTGAGTAATATTGTTCATACAAGTCCGGCGAACATCGCGTGAAACATCACTTCGGCAAAGAAAGAGACTGTAAACTCCATTATAGCTATCGTTATAGAATGTGTTTTCGGAAGCTATAGCGGCCATGGAATCCAGAAGAGTCGCGACGTTCGATCTATAATCGACGGTGGCCGTCTCGTTATCCGGGCCTTAGCAATAGTAATCAAACAACTGGGAGCTGGTGCAGTCGATAAGCACAAGGATGGTAATAAAGCATAAAGGCAAGGCTCAGGGTTTGTGGCAAAGGAGACGACTAGCCATTGCGTTTGTAATTAGTGATTTGATCAAGATCAATACAGAAACCGTGTTTATACGCTCTGTCTAATGGATCTTTTATAAACACAACTCCTTTTTGTCCACCTTCCACGGTTAGCGCTTCGCTTTGACCGGCGGCTCCGTCAGAGAGTGTCCAACTGCACGCAACTATTTGACTTTCTTGGTCCCACTCAAATAGAAAACTGAATTCCTTCGCAGACATCAATTATTATTAGTTTAAATCCCCAACGCATTTACTATGCTTTATAATTCTATGGTATATTTGCATATGTATTATCATTTTATTTGTATATATAAGTGTATCTTATGCTTGTAACTTCAAAATAAAATCATCAAGAAAAGTATGTATTATATGAATTAGATGTGAAATCTTAGTTAGTTTTATGAATAAATAAACAAGAAATACTATTAAAAAATACAAAAAATTATGATATAATTTTATTATAAAATTTAAAACACACTAATCATATTAACCGATCATTTATCCTAAAATTATGAAAACATAAAAAATTAATCGTTAAATAATTAAAAATATCACACAAAAGTTATTAAAAACTATAAATATTGATTTCAAACATATGGTTATGTCACATCATCACTGAAAATAAAAAAAAATCACTTTAATAGATCTATTAATTTTTTAACAACGGGTATCAAGTTAAAACCTAAACTAAATGTTATGTATGATTTAAAAATATAAATTTTAGATATCAAAATAGAATAAAAATAATACTTTAGATACTAAATGTATAATTTATCCTATATTTATATGAGATTTATATTACTTAAAATATATACATATTGTGCTTATAATAATTATCAACTTGTATTTTCGAAAGAGAAATAACGTTGGTTATGTTTTCATTATATTTGGTTTGTTCAATTTCTTTCCGGTATGTTTCGTTCCAATTTTATTGGATGCTCTCGAAAAAATTCTTTTTTTATATAGAAATCACTAATTTTATTTAAAATAAGAAATATCCTAAATTACAATAAATATTTATAATTATAATTGTAAATTAAGCATACAATTAGAATAATTTTCTATAATCATTGAAACAAAACTATCAACTTAAGATCACATAAGGACCATATAAGGAAAGATTAAAATCTAACCAAGAAAACTCGAATAAAGATAGATACAAATAAAACTAATCGCACCGGTAAATGAACCACAAAAGAGGATCAAGCTATTAAAAGACCATCGACAAATCACAGTCAGACTCGAGCGACGTAAAAAGCTATCCACAAATGCATAACGAATATCTGAATCCAATCTGAGGGTCTAAAGCAAGAAAAATCAACAATATAACAGATAAACACTATATTGATCAGTCGTGACGATGTCAAATCAACCTTTAGAAAAAGATAAGTGAAAACAACGACCAAACGAGTAAAAATGTACCAAAAGGTAAAAGAAAATATGTCATAAAAACATATGAAAATGTGTTATACATGTAAACTTATTAAAAAGAAAAGAAAAGAAAATGAAGATGTAATATAAGAAAATAAAATGACAATAAATAATATCGACGGTCGGCAATAAACATTAAAGTTAGCGCCGCCGCCGATCAACAAAGATAAAAGGAAAAAAAATGAACGACTTAGCAACGAGAGAAAACTATAGATTCTTGTTCTCGAAAAGATTCTTTCTAATATATTAAATGGAGGATAAGCACCATCAATATTAATATAAAAATAAAACAACGACGATGTAAAGATAATTAAATTTATCACAACTTAAATATGATAGACGTGGGGTAGTTGCATGCAACTATTAATATGAGATAAATACAGACCAAAAGTCTAAAATAATAATAGATAAATAACATAAAGTAAACAAACATTAGTCAGAGAGATTATGATATATTCAACTCTACATAAAAAATATGATACGGGCAAAAAAGAAATATATTATTTTTTTATAAAAGAATCTATAAAATAAAATAAAATAATTGAACTCAGATATATGCAAGCTTTGAGCTATGAGAACTTCCTAGTAATACTATAATGTTCAAATTTTGTAGGAAATCAACATATATATTATATATATATATATATATATATCATTGTTCAAAAATTGATGTACGAATATCTTAACATGCATTGGTCATACCAAATGATCACTCGTTTATCGGAAGGGAACCTTTGTGTGCGCAGTCGAGTAGCATAGTCCACACAGATGTGGCAAATATTGCTCGAAGAAAGATTGCCTCCGCAGAGGTAGATTGAAAGGTTCTTCAACGAATTGAACTAAAGGAAAAAAGAAGAAGAAGAAGATTATTAATTTGGTGATCTTTTTTACTATAAAAACTACCAAACGACAGTAGATACGATGAAGCAAGAAGGCATATTAGTCTAATAGAAACTACTATTAATCTGTCATCAATAATATTTCAATACACATAAAATTACAAAAATAAAAATAAGAATGATAATACAATAATAGAATAATCAATAGAAAGAAAGAACAGAATGCAAGAATCAACTAAAATAGACAGGACATTTCTTGTTCTTCCACGTCGGCTGGATCGACCCATCTTGTCCAACTGCAACATCACAATTGACATGCATCTTATGACGCTTACTGTCCCATGTAGTAACCTTGAATCTAATCACCGACGTTATCTCCAAACGGAACACCACCGTCCCTTGTTGCCTAGCGTCCATGAACTCCTTCCAACGATTGCTGCTCACCGTCAGTGTCGCCCCCGTGAATGTACCGTACATGACCGTAGTCGTCTTTGGTTCCTGGAAGAAAGAGTCCATCAATGGAGCCGAACCGATTAGTTGATCCTTATAGAAAACCGAACCGTGTTAAAAGTTAGTTTCAAAGTTTGGCAACCAACTTTGAAAAATGTTTTTCAAAGTTTGGTAAATGTTTCTTTGAAAAATGTTTTTCAAAGTTTGGTAGATGTTTGTTGAAAATAAGAATGGGTAAATTCACTTTAGTCATTGTACTTTAGGGTATTTTCAAAGATTAGTCCTTAAGTTTCAACTATAAATACCCTATCTCATTTAGCTTCAAAATCATCCCAAAATCTCAAATCATTTCTTTCTCCCAACACTGGAGAGCTTTCTTATGAGTAGTGAGTGTTTTGTAAACACCTGTAAATTTTCTCTCTAGTAAAAGATCTGCAGCAGTCCGGAGACGTAAGCAAAATTTGTTGAAATCCGTTATCAATTTCGGGTATTATTTTTCCGCTTTTATTTTGCATTCTCACTAATCTGGTTATAGGGAAGTTACTCGTACTCTGTTAATTTCCCAACGACTAGTAATCAAAGATTTTGGTTGTGAATTTTTTCAATTTTTTGCGAGGTTAATATTCACGTGAATAGTGAATTTCGTGAATAGTGAAATTTTGTTGGCGATACGAATTTGTCGACGGAGGTGTTCTAATACACGACGGTTCGCGAAAATTGTCAGAACGATCCAAAGAAGCCAGATTCGAGTGGGAGCGATGGCTGCAGACGAAGGGAATGTGAAAATTGAAAAGTTCGATGGTGCAGACTTTGGCTTTTGGAAGATGCAGATTGAAGATTTTCTGTACCAGAAAAATCTATATCAACCTCTCTCAGGAAAGCAACCAGAGGGCATTAAGAATGAAGACTGGGCTCTTCTCGACAGACAAGCCCTCGGAGTTATCCGACTGACGTTATCCCGCAATGTTGCTTTCAACATAGCAAAGGAAAAGACCACGGCGGGTCTTATGGCGGCTCTCTCCAGTATGTATAAGAAGTCATCAGCCTCAAACAAAGTTCATTTGATGAGGCGATTGTTCAATTTGCGGATGGCGGAAGGGGCATCGGTGACTCAACACCTAAATGAACTCAACACAATCACAACCTAGTTGAGTTCCGTGGAAATTGAATTCGATGATGAAGTTCGAGCTTTAATTCTCTTATCGTCTCTACCAGACAGTTGGAATGCTACTGTTACAGCAGTCAGCAGCTCGTCAGGAAACAGCAAATTAAAATTCGACGATGTTCGGGATCTGGTATTGAGTGAAGAAATTCGACGGAGAGAATCGGGTGAAGCATCAACCTCATCAGCCTTGCACACGGAGTCCAAAGGGAGAACTTCAGAAAGAAATTCAAATCGTGGCAGATCCAAATCCAGAACGGGAAAATCAAGAACGGGAAAGAAATATTTTACCTGTTATAACTGCGGCAAGAAGGGCCACTTTAAAAAGGATTGCTGAGCACCGAAGAAAAATATCGGCGCACAGGAATCTGCCAACGTGACAGAGGATACAGGTGATGCCATGATTCTAAGCGTCAACAGTCCGATTGAATCATGGATCTTGGATTCAGGAGCATCTTTCTACTCCACCCCATGCCGAGAAATCATGGAGAACTATGTCAGTGGTGATTTTGGGAGGGTTCATCTAGCTGATGATGAAACCTTGAAGATCGTCGGAAAAGGAGACATCCGATTAAAGCTGCCAAACCAGACCACCTGGAAGCTGACAGGAGTGAGACATATTCCTGGCCTCAAAAGGAATATGATTTCTGTATGACAGCTTGATGGAGAATGATATAGTACAACCTTTTCAGGCTAGAAGATTACCAAAGGAGCACTCGTCATTGCTCGTGGTAAGAAAACTGGTACTCTCTATATAACCTCAAATTTAGAGAATATCATTGCAGTAGCAGATGCTGATGGAAAATCAAACCTATGGCACCAAAGGCTTGTCCATATGAGCGAGAAAGGGATGAAGACACTTTTGTCAAAGGGGAAGTTGTCGGATCTAAAGAATGTAGATGTCGGACTATGTGAGGATTGCATCTTTGGCAAACAAAAGAAAGTCAGCTTTGCAAAAATTGGTAAGACACCCAAGGCTGAAAAGTTAGAGTTGATTCATACTGATGTACGGGGACCATCTCTAGTTCCATCTCTTGCAGTCTCATTATATTATGTCACCTTCATCGATGATTCTACAAGGAAGGTATGGGTTTATTTTCTGAAGAAAAAATCAGAAGTCTTTGATACCTTTAGAAAATGGAAGGCCATGGTGAAAAATAAGACTGGTCTGAAAGTCAAGCGGTTGAGGTCTGATAATGGAGGAGAGTACAAAAATTGTAGATTCAGAGAATTTTGCGCAAACAATGGGATCAAGATAGAGACAACAGTTCCCATGACACCGCAACAGAATGGCGTAGCAGAGCGCATGAACAGAACTCTGAATGAACGTGCCAGAAGCATGAGGATACATGCTGGATTGCCCAAATTTCTATGGGCTGAAGCTATCAACACTGCAGCTTACCTGATCAACCGTGGGCCCTCAGTTCCTTTGGATGGCAGAATACCAGAGGAAGTTTGGAGCAAGAAAGAAATAAACCTTTCACACTTAAGAGTGTTTGGTTGTATTTCTTATGTACACATAAACTCTGCTGAAAGAAGTAAACTTGATGCCAAGTCCAACAAATGTGTCTTTGTTGGTTATGGTGGTGATGAGTTCGACTACCGGTTTTGGGACTATGAAAATCAGAAGATCATCAGAAGCAGAGATGTCATTTTCAATGAGAATGTGATGTACAAAGACAGGTCAACTGTAGAATCAAGCAGCTCCAATACCAAAGCTGAAACAAAGAAATTTGCTGAGTTTGAGGAGATTTCTGGAACTGATGTTCAGATCAGTCCTGAAGCAGTTCAAGAAGAACCAGACACACCGGAACTAAGACGCTCCTCCAGAATTCCTAAACCAACCCAACGTTATTCGCCTTCTTTGCAATACTTGTTGCTGACTGACAATGGTGAACCAGAGTGCTATGATGAAGCAATGTAGGTGGAGGATTCAGTCAAGTGGGAGTATTCCATGAAAGATGAGATGGACTCGCTTATGTCAAATCAGACGTGGGAATTAGCTGAATTACCACTAGGCAAGAAAGCGCTCCACAACAAGTGGATTTACATGATCAAGGAAGAGCATGATAGGAGCAAACACTACAAAGTAAAATTGGTTGTCAAAGGTTTTCAGCAAAATGAAGGTATTGACTACAATGAAATTTTCTCTCCAGTTGTAAAATTGTCTACAATCAGACTGGTGTTGAAAATTGTAGCTGCAGAAAATTTACATCTTGAGCAGTTAGATGTAAAGACAGCTTTCCTTCATGGTGATTTGGAGGAAGAAATCTATATGAGGCAGCCAGAAGGCTTCATAGAGGCAGGCAAGAAAAACCTGGTATGCAGGTTGAAGAAGAGCTTGTATGGTTTAAAACAAGCTCCTAGACAGTGGTACAAGAAGTTCGATAGCTTCATGGGTAGCAGTGGTTTTACCAGATGCCAAGCAGATCATTGTTTCTACATTAAGAGGTTTGACAATAGCTTCATTATTTTATTGTTGTACGTTGATGACATGCTCGTTGCAGGCTCAAACATTGTCGAAGCAGTTTGCTATGAAGGATCTGGGTACTGCAAAGCAGATTCTTGGGATGAAGATCAAGAGAGACACAAAGTTGGGGACTTTGATGTTATCACAGTTTGAGTACATTAACAAAGTACTTTCCAGGTTCAACATGAAAGATGCTAAACCAGTAAGTACACCTTTAGGTGTTCATTTTATACTCTCCAAAGAACAGTCACCAAAGGCGAAGGAAGAACGTGCACACATGGTAAAGGTGCCGTATGCCTCAACAATTGGAAGTCTGATGTATGCCATGGTATGTACCAGACCAGATATTGCTCATGCAGTGGGAGCTGTTAGCAGGTACATGAATAATCCGGGCAAGGTACACTGGGAAGCAGTCAAATGGATCCTCATATATCTGCGAGGTACCACAAACAAAGCACTTTGTTTCAAAGGTGGAGATACGATATTGACAGGCTATGTAGATGCTGACTTAGCCGGAAATATTGACATCAGAAGGAGCACTACAGGGTATGTCTATACTCTAGGAGGAACTGCAGTGAGTTGGGTTTCTCAACTACAAAAGATAGTTGCTCTCTCCACAACTGAAGCAGAATATGTCGCTGTTACGGAAGCTAGCAAGGAGATGGTTTGGCTCTAAAGTTTCTTGGAAGAGTTAGGCAAGAAACAAGAAAACAATGTCTTGTATTGCGACAGTCAAAGTGCTATCCATCTAGCAAAGAATCCGTCTTTTCATTCCAGGACGAAGCACATACAATTGAGATATCATTTTATCTGATCTCTTCTGGAAGATGTGATTTTGAAACTTGAAAAGATTAGTGGATTTCAAAATCCGGCAGACATGTTGACAAAGACGGTGACTACGGACAAACTGAAGTTGTGTTCAACTTCAGTTGGCATGCTAGAATAACAAGACCAGAAATATTGTTGCATTGATCGAGATGTGAAGACAGATTAAAATCAGTCTTCAAGTGGGAGATTGTTAAAAGTTAGTTTCAAAGTTTGGCAACCAACTTTGAAAAATATTTTTCAAAGTTTGGTAGATGTTTATTGAAAATAGGAATGAGTAAATTCACTTTAGTCATTGCACTTTAGGGTATTTTCAAATATTAGTCCCTAAGTTTCAACTATAAATACCCTAGCTCATTTAGCTTCAAAATCATCCCAAAATCCCAAATCATTTCTTTCTCCTAATACTAGAGAGCTTTATTGTGAGTAGTAAGTGTTTTGTAAACACCTGTAAATTTTCTCTCTAGTAAAAGATCTGCAGCAGTCCGGAGACGTAAGCAAAATTGGCTGAACTCCGTTATCAATTTCGGGTATTATTTTTCCGCTCTTATTTCGTATTCTCACTAATCTGGTTATAGGGAAATTACTCGCACTCTGTTAATTTCCCAACAAACCGAGTCGTAATAGATTCCAATGTGTTGGTTGGATTTCCTATCCGTGACATTGAACGATATCAAAGCATTCTCGAACCCCAAAGGTTGAACCAAACTGGGAACCGCGAAATCCACGACGTAGAACCTCGGTCGATGAGGGCGTAAACTAAGCCATAAAATGAACAACACAATTCCAACAAGTAAAACAACAGACAAGAACATGGTACATAGTACTTTGATGACTCTATTGGTGAAGCTTTCACGAACCCGATGCACATAGTAGCGGGCGGTGCGGTGGAGCTTGAGTGGTTGTTGGGGTTGAGGGTTTGGTTGAGCCGGGTTGTCTTGTAGGGTGTATCGGATCGGCAAGTTGTCGGAACCGCCACCGGACATTTTTCCGGCTGATTAGAAGATTTTCAGGGTTGGTTTTCGGTGATGATACAAAAGGGTGTTTATGTAGGATTTTTTACGTAATGTAGAAGGGAAGGGGACATTAAGGAATTAGGAGTCTTCTTGCATGGCGAAAGAAAGGAATATGAGCATTGTTTAATGAATAGGCTATCGATGTTCATAAATGATCTGTGTTGGTATAAAGTTATCTCTATGCGTAAGGGAGCTGAAAAGTATGTGTACAGTTGGGATAAAGAATATGGTTTTCAAATTAGGGTATAAGTTTTGTTTGCATATTACATTATATAAAAATAATATGAACATGCACGAACCAAATGATTTTAGTGATTAATATTTTATTGTTATTTATTGAGGTATCGGGTTTAAACATGACATCTACAAATATTATCTTATATTCATATACATATTTTGATAATATTGTGAGACAGACATATTTAATTTTTGCAAGATTTGTTACCTTAAATTCCTGTATTGATAGTCTTTCTTTATATTTTTTTATATATTGTTAAGTCTTGAAAAGAGTTATGATTTATGCCTTAGACTTAACTAATTACTTATATTCAAGTGATTTTAGTTACATATTTAATCCATTGCATTGACATTTTCGTAGCATTTCATTATAGAATTTGGACTGATATACTTGTGGCTTTTAACTGCTTTTAGAAAAGACTTGTGGTGTTTGGTTGACAAGTGCAGGAGGAGGGAAGGAACCACTGGACAGTGGATTACAAGACCTTAAAATAGAAAAATCAACAAACGCCTAGAAAAAAGGTTAAATTACAAGTGTAGTATCTAAACTATAGTTTTTGTCCAGTTTGGCATCTAGACTTTCAACTTTTTCAAAAACATACCTAACGTTTAGATTTGTTTCATTTTACTACCTTATCGTTAAAAAAAACTACACTGCAATTTTTAAGAGTAAATTATATCATTCATCACTCAACTATCATCTCACTCCTATTTTGGTACTAAAGTTTAAAATATTTCAAATTAACTACTCAACTTTCAAATTACTCATATTTTAGTCACTCAAATTTATTTTATTAATAATTTATGTGACATGACATTTTTTATTAGTTTATTAATATATAATTAAAACTAAAAATAAATTTGAAAGTTAGAGTGATTAAATTAAGAGTAATTTGAAATTAAAAAAATAAACTTTAGTGACTAAAATCGGAGTGAGAAGATAGTTGAGTGATGAATGATGCAATTTACCCATAAAAAATATGATGTTTTATTCAATTGTTTTTAATGATTTTATGTATGTCGTGTATCGATAAATATACAATATGTTAGTAAAGAGAGTTTAATTCTGACAGAATCAAGTTAATTGGAACGAAATTGAATAACACAAGTAAATGTTTAGTCAATATTCATAACAATCTCTATGCATAGAGTCTTTCTCGATACGGAAAAACTAAAAATATTAGTAGATGTTCAACTTAAGTCTATAGTTGCTATCGAAGGAGGCAGACCATTGTAGGAACCTTTCGGCAGTAGATTTATTCCCACCTCGTCACGGCATTAACTGTAGTAAGGGTGAATTCATTAATACTCCCAACTGTCTATCAATATTTGTTTCCCTTCATCACTTTCCCTTAATCTTTGCGGAGATGATTTCATTCGTCATTTTGTTACTTGTTCGACGTGTATACTTACATAATTTGCATATTAGATTTATGTATAACACATATATAATTATTCAATCATATATACACAAGAATGAATGCATGATCTTATGTCAAGAGTGTGAATCTCTAAGAAAATATTTTAGAAATTTTAAGGGTGGATAATCATATTATCAATAGAAAATACATAAAAAAAATACTCGAGAATTTAAAATTTTAAGGAGATACAATTATCCCGATATTTTTATTGATCCATTCTTATATACATGTATGCCTGATAAGATAGGGGTCCTAAAAGAACTAATTCGACACCTAATTCAAATGATGCGCATATGTATTAAAGGAAATTCCGTAGGTGACCTCCATGGTAAGAGGCACAAAAGTCAACAATTTCATTTTCCCATTTAATTAGACAACGAATGTTACCATGTTTTCTTCTTTCCTCTTTCCGATCCGTGAATGTAAGGTAATAAACCTTTTCATTTTTCTTAATATTTCACGATTCCATTTATATAACAACACGTATTTGATATAATAATAAGACATATTAAAATATATAAATATAAGTAAATACATTTAGATCTAATTATTTGGTCACTTTTACTTTGTTATTCAATACTCTATGAATAATTGAATATAATGATTGATTATGATATATTTTGTTTAAAACAAATCATAAAAATCATTTTAAAATCAATTCATTATATATATTTTTTTTAAATTTTATTTATATAAAATATTATTTCTAGAGTAAAAAAGCTTTTTTCAAATATAAAATTGTTGAGCTAAATATTTTAAGTGATGTCATGTTTGCTCATAAAATCTTTTATATATTTTGGATGATGTTGTCATGCTTGACGAGTATGGATGAGTACGGTTAACGATGAATATCATTAACTTAATTTATAAAATGTTAAATTTTAAAGTATTAAACGTATAATTATAAATTAGTTAAAAATCTAAATATAATTTAATTAAAATACAATATTTATAAAATATTAGTTTTTATAATATTATTTTAATTATAATTAGATCAAATGTTAATTGAAGAAATTTATAAACCCTAATTTTTTCATAGTTTTGAAACTCATGTTGTTATTGTCGCCGCCGTCGTTACCGTCACCATTGTCGTCGTTACTCATGTTGTTGTTGTCGTCACCACCAGCGAACGACAAAGATTAAATCAACGGCTGCAACAGTGACAACGGTAATGGCGACGGCGGTAGTGATGACGACGACGAGACAGTAATGGTGACGATAATGATAACGACGGTGATGCAGTGGCGGCGACGGCGATTTCTAATCTATGAAAATAAATTATGGTTTATAAATTTCTTAAATTAATATTTGGTCTAATTATAATTAAAATAATATTATAAAACTAATGTTTTATAAAATATTGTATTTTAATAAAATTACATTTAGATTTTTAACTAACTTATAATTATACGTTTAATACTTCATAATTTAACATTTCATAAATTAATTTAATAGTGCTCATTGTTAACTGTGCTTATCTACGCTCGACAAGCATTGTAGAATTTTTCATAATTTTAATATATGAATTTTAAATTCATTAAGTGGATTCAATAGTAAATGAAATGTTAATTTTAAAAAAATAGATTCGAGAAATTATAATTGTAAGGTTTATATGTATTATCGATTACTAAGAAATTTTTTGAATAAATATTATCTTTTAATTAGGGGTGAGTGTTCAATCAAGTCGAGTCAAAAAATTTGAGTTATTCGAGCTGACAAGTCCTATTTTATAATTTAGAGTAGACTTAAAAAAATTTTTGAGTCGAGTTGAGTCAAAAAAATTTTGAGTTATTCGAGTTGACGGGTCTTATTTTATAACTCGGAGTGGACTTGAATTTTTATGAGTCGAGTCAAAATTTTTTGAGTTATTCGAGTTGATGAGTTTTATTTTATAACTTAGAGTTGACTTAAAATTTTTTCGAGTCGAGTCAAAATTTTGAATTTTTATTTAAATTTAATTGTAAATATTTACAATATTATTACATTATTTTATTCCAATTTAAATATTTTTTTATAACCATATACAATACATATATATATTTTCATATTTTTCATATGTAATTTATATATATCATACAAAGACGAGGGACTCGACTAATAATTCAACTCAAACTTAGAAATCAATCTACTAATTATTAAAAAATTTAAGTTATTCGAGTTGTATTTTACAACTCGAATTGAACTAGAAATTTTTTCGGGTTGAGTTGAATCGAAAAAATCAATTTTTCGAATCGAGTCGAGTTTTGCTCACTCATACTTTTAATCACTTAAACTATTAGTTAAATATATATATATATATATATATATTTATTATTTATTTAAATTTTATGGTATACAAGCTTCGAATATAAGAGATAAGAGCCCTCCTAAAAAAATCCCAAAATGTCGAGGTCCACACAAAAAATTCTGCAACTAGAACCATTCATGCTTCTGTGCTTTAAAAGCTAATTATAACATTTAATAATGCCCAACTTGTATAAAATACTGATTAATTTAGCTAAACCACTGTTATTTTAACTTAAAAACACACACGTTCATGTTGTGTAATTATTATTAAGCGATAGTGGAGAATACATGAGCCACCAGCAGCAACATATCCATTCTCCAACCGCAAGAAACATTGCCTCCACGACATCTGCTGCTCCATTTATCATTATTATTAGCCAACCATTTTTCTTCTTTAATCATTTATAAATTATATGATATTAAACTCATTAAACGACCTAAGTGGTAAAAATGAATATCATTCTTCTTAAATATCTCGAGTTCAAGAAGTTGCATCTATAAGATGTGTATACATTATTAATAATTGAAATTCTGAACAAATATTATATCATAATTACTAGAACTATAAAAAAATAAAAAATTATGTCAATAAAAACCATATTATTTCGATAATCATATATCTAATGATATCAAAATACGAGGTTGGTTCAAGTACTAAACAGTTCGATATCGCTTAAAGTTCAAGTCTTTATGTATGCAGAAAATTTTCGTTGAGAGATTTATCTACCAAAATCAAGTGTGCGATCTGAGTCGGTCAGAATTAATTAGAACGAAATCTTGGGACCGGGAAGATAAATAAAACAAAACTTATAACCGATAACAAGATAAAAGTACAAAATAACAGCAGTTCACAGTAATCAAAATCTGTTGCGAAAACTGGAATGGAACAAGAACCAAAAAACAAAACAAAAAATAAGACAAGAGTGAGTAACCGTAGAAATCGAAAGATGCAAGAAATCTTCACCAATTAGATCATCACGCCACTCTGTCTGTTACTATAAATAAAAACAAAATGCTAACCATTTTCAACATTTTTTTATTTATAAATTATTCATCTTTGTTAAATTTCCTCATTGCGTGTAATACCAACTCATCATATGAATATATAATACAAAAATCCTCTGCAAATTTCAAATCTTCTTCACCAAATTTCCATTTCATTTTTCTCCCTTGTATAACGGTGTTTTCCTATAAAGTCGGCTCATTTGCAGCAGATAACAGCTACATGACAGGATTTGTTTGATTTTAAAGAATAGTTTATTCGGATTTTGACTGTATCTTAAAGGGTGTCTCTGTTTTCTTTTTATGATTCTTCTCTCCCAATCAGATGCTTTGATTAAGATTTCAAGAGTGTCCCCATGGAGTACGCAGTTGTTTGACGCTCTCTAGAGTCCTAATTCCACCTCTTCTTTCATCGTTTGTTTCCCTTTCTTTTTTTAATCTTCTCTTTATTTTCCGAGAAAATGTTGAACCTAACGGAAAATCCAAAGCTGGTAAGTATAACCTCTCTGGGGTTTCTTCAAATATTTCATTTTTTTCATCTCCTTTTCGTTGTTACTGTTTAATTGATTTTCGTCGCCATCATCAAGTGTCTTAATTTGAATTTGGGGTTCTTGATTTGGTGATAGGATTCAACATCTTCCAACGAGATATCCACACAAAAAATATCAGTTTCGGATCATATCAATGGCTTTCAATACTCAACCGATAATAAATCCGATAGCTTTGTTCTCGACTTGGAAGGTTTCTCTCATGGAGGATCCAATAAAGAAATCAATCAGAATTCAAGATTTACAGTGAGTTTTCCTCTTTTTTTCAAGATTTTTTTTTGCGGGAACAAGCTGAATACATTTATTTCTAAATTACACGTGTTTATTTACAGCTGAATGATACTGTTTCATGCAAGTCCAGAAAAATTCAGTTTTTTTCCTTCTTAATTTGCAGAGAAGTCTTTCTCGGAAAGGGTCCCAGAGAGGAGGGGACAAAAGTTCCAGTTGTATAAATTCAAATTGTAAATCCTCTCTCAATGATAAATATGCTTTTGTTGCCACCTCCCAGAGATTTAGCATTAATTGCTTAGATTTTAGCATGTGCTGGTTTTTTAACTTTTCCCAGGAAAATTTTCCCGGAAAAATTCTAAAAGCGGGACATTTTGGCTCTATTTTAACCCAGTTTAGTGGTTCAGACCATGCGCTTTTCTGCAATTTATAGTTAAATTCATTAAAGCACCTGAATTTAACTTGTTAACTACGTAGAACAGTTCTTTAGTAGTATTTAGCTATGTTATTCGGACTTGAGTGTGTGCCGGATATCGGTATACTCGAATATGCTCATTTTCGAATATGTCATGTTTCTCTTGGATGCATGTTCTCATGTTTTATGGCAAATTTCCTGTTTGTATAATTTATATCGTAAGATTTGGGCTGGAATTATTGAACTGCAACTTCTCTTGTAGGGTCTAGCACGGCTGAAAAGCCGGTGACAGCCGCTGTAGTGTCAACCGATACGACCAACAATCCGCAAGTTCATCATCAGATCACCATTACCACTGGCAATATCACACCTGCAACCGAGAGCAGATTCAATCTACAGAGAAACAATTCCCGTCGTTTTTCTTCCCCGTGGTATTTCGATCCCAAGAGGATTCTCTTCATCTTTGCCACACTGTAAGTTTCCGAAATGTTCCTATTCCATCTGCAAAGGCTTTGTTGATACTGAAAGGAAAAACCTTTTCGGGTTCTTTTAACAGATCGAGCATGGGTACGATTTTGCTGATATATTTCACATTGTCGATTTACAAAACGAACGGAGATAGGGATGCATTCGATTAGTACGTAGCCGGAGACTATACTCACCAACTTACTGCTAACTAAAAGCAACATTGCAAGTTGCAACATGACATACACATGGTAGCTCAAATCAAAAACCGATGGGAGTGGTTGAGAATGAAAAGGAAGACTGAAGAAAGAAGACAAAAGGGAATGCTTATATTAAAGATAGCTTCATGTGTAGAGTTAAAAAAAGGTCAAATGATGACAAGTACATCACTCCACTGTGACAAAGATCTGGAATCTTTCCTTTTTTAATATGTATGTACGTGTGTGTATTTATGTAAGAGATGGAAAGAAGATGATATGTTGAACTTTGTTGTGCTGTCAGATGGATGAAATGGAGGGTTCAAAAAGTTGCTTTGTGCCTCATCTCTCATTTCTTTTGGCTTTCACTTGGAAATTCATAAAGGAGACTTTAACACTAAAGCCAACAAACTTGGGATCAAAGCAGAGAATAGTTAGTTGGATGTGAGTTTTCCACGAAAATTAGTGAAAAACACAGTCGCAGATAGAATCAACCTAATAAAAATGACTTGTTTCTGGGTAGAAAATGAAAACGGCACCTCCCACTATCATCAAGCTTAAAAAAATAAGATGTCTGAGCCCGGGGACCTCTAGTGTGTGAGACTAGCGAGATAACCAACTACACCACCTAGACGCTTGGTATATGATCTAAATTAAATCTTACAAAAATTGTTATGTCTCTCCTTACAAACCAGGTTAAACAAAACTTATATTCGACTCAAATAATCGATTTGTTTGAGTTTGTGTCAACTCAAATTTTTAGTTAATATTTCAAGTTTTAATTTATTTATTTTTCCATTAATTCTTTGACACTTTTTTGAATAGTCTGAGTGATTACAAAGTAATATTTATTCATAATTTTCTTAATCTATTAACAACACACATCTTATAAATGCAGATATCTAAACCTAAAACTTCAAAAAATAATATCATTTCCTTTTACTACTAAAATCATATTTGAATCTAAAACCTTTAAAAAGAATAACATTTACTTTTACCACTTAATGAATTTAATTATTTAACTATTTCATTCTATCATATATACTTTTTGTTTCATTTTTTTAAATCATAATATTATATAATTTTGTACACATACTACGCATACATAATTGTTCGAATTCATGACCTCTATAGAGGTGAAAACAACCTTCCTTTCTACTATTAAGACTATTTGATGTTTTCAACGTTACAAATCTTATTTATACATATGAAAAATGAAGAAAAAAATACATTAATGTATATATTTAAAATGAGTAGTTTAAATTAGAACCAAGCAAATATTATAAATAATTATATTTAAATTCAAATAAATATATTTAATTCCATTCAAAAATATCTTAAATAAAATTTTAATTATAAAATAATACCCGTCAACTTTAATCATTTAATTTTTTCACTCTATTAAACTTGGTGGAATATTCACCTCATTGACCACACAAGCTTTCCAGGGCATTTGGACTTGTGAGGCAGAGAAAAAAGATGGGTTTACATTGAGGAGTAGATTATTGAATCAGCATCCGAATCTGAAGGATGAGAGATCGGAACATCACCATCATCACTAGTTCCATGGATGGACCCTGCAATAGTTTCACTGCAACCAGGGGGTTATCTTCATCCCTTTACATCACTCTCATTCTTCATTTTATAAATACAAGGTAATTTGAAGGAGACTTCTTTTTAAGAAAATAGCCACCTTTCTTACCAAGTCAGCTCAATTTGTTCCCGGTTCCCCACTAGCCTTTAAATTATTCCCTCTACCACGAACATCCTAAAAGAGTCAACTCTCCACTTCGATCGTCCTCCGTTTACGAACCGGTATGAAGATCTTCATCGAAACACTTTCCACCGGTAAAACCATAACTATCGATGTCGAAAGCTCCGACACCATCGATAACGTCAAGGCGAAGATCCACGATATGCAAAGCCTTATCTTCTCCGGGAAGCAACTCGATGATGGTTGTCGAACTTTGGCCGATTATAACATCCGGCAGGACTCGACGCTTGGTTTGGTTTTCACGTTTCCTCGTCGGATGCCGATCTTTGTCAAGACTTTAACAGGGAAGAAGATTCAATTGGAGGTGGAGAGTTGGGATACGATCGGCAACGTGAAGGAGAAGATTCAGGATAAAGAAGGGATTCCATGGTATCAACAAGTTCTGAGTTTTGGTGGGATGCAGTTGGAAGATGGGAAAACATTGGGTGATTACAATATTCAGAAACAATCCACTCTTCACTTTGTATTGCGTCTTCAGAGTAAGCTTCTAAGCTCCCCCATGGAAATTGGGTTTTAGTTTCATTTCAATCAATTGCATGCTTTGTGTTCTGCATTCTTTGATGTAATCCTACAAATATTTCCATGCCCAGAGGCGATGTCACAAATCATATCAAGGGCTCAGATTTTAACCATTAGTTTATATTTTAGAACTTTTGTAGGGATTACCAAATTATTAATTTTGATTCTACTTTGATTAATGGAAATTTTTTATCAAATAGGTTATTAAACTTTTAATTTAGTTACAATCAAACCACTAAATTTTAAGTGTCAACGAAATTATTGATGTTGTAGTTAAGTGAATTTGTACAATACTACATTTAGTCCACATAATTTATGCTTACCTTATGTTTAACTTAATGATAAAAATAAAATTGATCTTATAGTTAAGTGGTCTTCGAGATAGTTTACCTTATGTTTTACCGTTTAAGATATTTACTACAACTTTTAACAAAGGTCACATATCCGATAGGGTTTGAATTTGTATTAAAGATGCTCATGTTTTGAGTTATGGGTGCTCTAAATCTAAGCAAGCATGTTTTAGTGCAGCACTTTGTTGCGAGGAAGATACAAGTGAAGAATCAAAGCTTAAATTCTTTGAAGACGAGGAAAGAAATGTAGCTAGCATGCATAATTTCATTGGAAACCGGTACGTTTGTTCATCTATATTTTTTATTATTTTTTATTAAATAATAAAATTTTATTTAATGTATTATGAAAATAAACCTAGGGTTTTGTTTTTCTTTCTTCTTTCAAGTCTTCAATTATCTATTTTTTTTTATTAAGAACCGTTTATAAACATTTTTTTTCTAATAATATTCTTTCTTGTTTCAAATTCTGACATTTAAGTTGTTTGATTGGTATCTACTGGAAGTTCAAAATCAGTTGATGGAAGAAAGGCTATTCGCTGTACAATCATGGAATTTCTTGCCATTGTTCGAGGGTAGAGTTGAAGTACGAATCGAGGGTAGAGAAATTCGAATTGAGAATTTTGACCTGAAGAAAATGGTAAAAATAGATGAAGTACAAAGGATAGAGAAGAGGAAAGAGAAATTAAGAATCTACAAAGTCGAAATAGAAAAGGTAAGGAATGATGCAATGTTGTGTAAGGCTGCTTTGATTGTTTCGTGGCTACTTTATGTTGTAATTAAATTAGTCTTTTAGTGTAGTGGTTTAGTTATTGATTCTAGTGATATAAAACCGATGAAAAAATTTACAAAGTTGGTTTAATCTTGTTATGAAATGTGATGACAGATGGTGTACTTTTATCATGAAAGTTTGATATATTACATCTGAAACTGAGGAAAGTGTTAACGAACGTAGAAAATCTAATAAATATAACGCATATTGCATCTGAAAACAAATATCTCGGACATTAAACGGATCAAATTGTCCCAGAATAACATCAGAAGTTATAATAATAATACTATTACAAGATAGATTTAACCCATAGTTGTAAAAGTGCAAACTGAATTAAGTAATAAAAGAAGTATGACCCATAGCTGAACACCACGTCAAACGAGGACCATTTTCCGAACACCACCCGAGAAGGGGCACACAAAAATAAACGGTCCCTTAATTCAACCTCAACTAGGGATGGACATAGGATCCGAACCCGACGTGTTCCGATTCGATCCGATCGGGTCGAATTTTTTTTAAATATGGGTCAGGTCGGATCGGATTTTTTAAATGTGATGTTCGGGTCGGGTTCGGGTTTATGGTGAAAAATACTCGACCCGAAAAAATTATAATTTTACCTTATATATTTAGGAATAATTATAATAATACCCCTCTATATATTATTTTTTCAATTAAGTCATTGTTTTTATTGAATAAAAATAATATTTTTTATTATTTTGGGTCGGGTCGGGTTTTTTAAGTTATTTATCGGGTTGGGTCTTGTGAAATCTTGTTTTGGTTGGGTCGGGTCTCGGGTGGAGGACTCATTGTTCTCGGGTCGGGTCGGGTGGACCAAAAACCCGACCCATGCCCATCCTTAACCTCAACCATGTACACAACCTATCTTTCGTTGCTAACCGATCCAAATTTTTCTAAAAGTTAATAAAACAACATCAATTACATTATAACTAAAGGTCTAGAAGTTGGTATGAACTTAGGCTGATTTCTTTGAAATTAACTTGGGAATTTTACTTATAACACTTTGAAAATCGATTAATTTTTTTTTACCTTCGAGGATTGAAAAATAATTTTTTGAGGACTTATTTGAATATTTCAATCTTTGAATGTGTGTTCATTGAATATGCTTTGATTCGGATTTGAATCGGGGAATAAATTATAAGGATTTAAAGTTTAAGAATTAAAATGTGAATAATGAAAGTTTTGAAGTCTGAGTGAAAAAAAAGGAATAATGGGATGACCATCCATCCATGTAACTATGCCCTTTGTCCTAATTGTGGATTTTGATAGCAAGGCAGTTAGGTGCCATGTTCTTATAATTAAATTCTATTTACATATTTTGTTCGTGCAAAAACATAATTAAATAAGCAATTAAACGCATGCCGTAACCTACCTCGTATCTGTTGCATAGCCCAATACTAAAATTTAAATTTTGTAAAAATACAAAAAACCTGTTGGTTTCCCGAGTAAATCAAAGATTTATTTTCAGAAAATCATTAAAAAATGATTTTAAAAGTTAAAATAGTAAAAGCAAGTGGACTAACTTTATAACTATATCCATTGTTTTGAAAACTGTACTAGATCGGTCGGTTCAACCGGTTCAATCAAAAATCGTTGTCTAGTTCGGTTCAATCTAAACCGGTTGAATCGTTACTAGTGAATCAGCCGGAACCGCTAAACCGTTCAAATTGAACCGGCTGAAAACCGGGAAAAATCGCCAATTTTGTTTTTTTTTTAAATTAATAAACCAAACGACGTCGTTTGTTAAACGAGCCAAGTCGAACTCGAGTATTGTTGAGCTCGACTCGAACTTGAAAAATTTAAAAGTAAGTTCAACTCGATTCAAACTCACGAGCTAAAAATTATGAAGTTTAACTCGAACTCAAAATATAATATTGAAACTTGAACTCGAAAAGGCTTGAACTCAAAAAAAATTTAAAAGCTCGATTGAAGCCTAAAATTCGAGCTTGATTGAAGTGAAAGAATAGTTCACTCAATGCTTACCAAAAGGCTCTATGATTTGAATGCCAAATTACCTCTATTATTTATAGAAGTTAGTTGGGATGATTTTCTATGTTTCTTAGCCATGTGGGATTGTTTTTAAAATAAAATTAAACCAAACAATATCATTTTATTATGATTTTTTTAGCCCCAAATTTATTTTTTAATTATAGTTATATAATTATATTTATTATTTAATATGTTTTACCTTAAATATTATGTTGTAGTTAATTTGAATCATTTTGTTTCACTTGATTTTATGGTTTTTAACTTATATATGTTATGACTTGCTTTGAATATGAATTGTTATATAAAAAAATATTTTTTATTAAATATTTTTGGTATTTTTATTTAAATTTTTAATAAATTATGACGTCGTCCGATTCTTCCGACCGATAAAACCGATTCGACCGGTTGAACTAATGAATAGGTAACATAATCGGTTCGCTAACCGGTCCGGTTCTGAAAACCATGATTATATCTCTTAGATCTATACACATTATATCATGCCAAACTTAGGATTTTGTGCGTATAGACTATAGACTCACATGGAGATGTGTATACCACCTACTCAAAGATAACATATATTATTCTCCCACTTTAGTTTCAATAACACTTTATCAAAAACTTAGGAAATTAACCATATATATGGTAACCTACTATTGATATCTAATTTTTCTCTGAATTTATTTTCTTTGTGAAGGATTGGGAAGTTCTACTGTGTGAACCTAAAATTAAATTACGACGGGTTTTAATTTAAATATATTTTTGTCTAACTTAAAATGTTATACAATCGGTAATCATTTTGGTTATAAACAAAAATATTACATTGCGTTAGGTTTAACATAAAATGTTATATGTGTATTCTAAGAAGTTAGACAATTAATAATAATTTCAGGTACAACCGAAGATGTATCGAGGACAATTTTTTATGTTACAACCATAAAAGTTATGTAATTTGCATGGATGATTATAGAAAACATAATATTATTTTAGATTTCAACTTAAAATGTTATTCAATTTAATTTAAAAAATTAGGCTTTTAGTAAAATTTTCAATTACAACTTATTATTGTTTTTTTTTCTTAATCTTATATTAACCTAAACCTAATATTTTTGGGTGATTATAAAAATGGATAAGGAGATGGTGCGATTGGTCCAATATGAGTAGACAAAACTTCCCCTGGACAGCTGCATGCGATTAAACAAAAGCCATAGAATCTTTCTGTCCATTAATGCCTCAGCCTTCCAACTACCCATCAACCTAGCTACACCATATGAATCTGCCATTCAACTACCTTTCGTACCATTTATTTATGTTTCATCCTCGAACACTCTGTTTTTCATACATTATTTAACCACTCCCCATTAGCTCTGTTTACTTCAGGTCTAAATAATCTCCTCCTTTCTGCATATGGCTGACTCTCAACATTCCTCTTCTGGTAAAACTTATGTACAATCTCCAGGTAAACTCTTCACTTTCACTTACCCCTCTTGTTTTTTTAAATCTGTTAATTGTAACTACATTTCATCATCTGTTCAGGGGAGGTAACAAGTGAAGAACCAAAGCTTAAATTCTCTGAAGATGAGGAATCACTTATACTTAGGATGTATAATCTGGTTGGGGAGAGGTGAGTCTCTTAATTGCTTTTACCTTTTCTTCTCAACAAAGCAAAAAAAAAAAAAAGTTGAATTTTTGCTTGATTTTTGATTGGCAGGTGGGTTCTAATTGCTGGAAGAATCCCTGGTAGAACGGCTGAGGAGATTGAAGAGTATTGGAATACCAGATATTCGACAAGCGAATGAAGAGGAAAAAGGGCGAAATATTCGTTACTTCGAGAGAGTCGGTGCCGATTATGGCCGACGGAGCAACATTGAGTGAGTGAAGAAGACGATAATGGATTCAACTGCGTTAGAAAACTGAGATTTGCCTCTTCTTTGTTAAGTGTTCAAGCAAAGTGATGTGTATGATATTTTTGAGGCTTCACTTCTTTAAGTGCTTACTACTTGTGTTTCCATGGATCGAAACTTGATAGTTAAACCAAATGATATTGTCTTTTTAACACAAACGAATCGAAGAGGGAGTCCAACCAGTTGGATTCAGAAATTGGGTCGAAACTCATAAGTCAAACCGATTGAATCTTCAACTCCGATTCAGTAGGTTTTTTTAAACAATTTGATAGCTTCTTTTTCTAATGTTCAAACATTAATTTCATGCAAAACTAAACCAAAAGGTTGATTTATATAACTACAGAATCAGATAGGTCAATGGTTCCACCGGTTGATCCGATCTGACTTTTCACTCCATGCTTTGGTTTTACAACAGCAAAAATAAATGGCAAACAAGTTCGATCAAATTAAACAAAGCATTGCCTGCATACATGTAGCAGAACAAAGACGAATACCATAACTTGAATTAAAAAGAAAAAAATCAAACATGAGGTTTTGTAGGGGTGTAAATGAATAGAACGTTGATAAATTATCCGTATAACATTCATTTATATTCGTTTATTAAGTTAAATAAACGAGTAAGAGCAAAAAAAATTATGCTTTGGTTTTACAACAGCAAAAATAATGGCAAACAAGTTCGATCAAATTAAACAAAGCATTGCCTGCATACATGTAGCAACAAAGACGAATACCATAACTTGAATTAAAAAGAAAAAAATCAAACATGAGGTTTTGTAGGGGTGTAAATGAATAGAACGTTGATAAATTATCCGTATAACATTCATTTATATTCGTTTATTAAGTTAAATAAACGAGTAAGAGCAAAAAAAATTATGTTCATTTAATAAACAAATGAACACAAACACAAGTGTGTTCAAAGTTTAAGGACTAGTGGCATAATTTCACCATTTTTCTTTGACCTTGCAAATATAAAGTTAAAAAGAGTGTTGGTTGCAAAAGGGAATCAGACCATATAAGCGAAGATGTTAGCAAACTTTTAAGGGAACATGTTAGCAAACGTTAAATGAATATGTTAGCAGATGTTAAATGAATATGTTACTAAAAATATAAATGAATATACATTAAATGAAACATGTTCGTGAACGTTAAAGAAACCAAACACAAACACCTTCAAAAATAAATAAGCGAACACGAACATAATACTAAAAATTTAAACAAACATAAACCAAAACACACCTTCAAAAATTTACACCCCTAAGGGGTTGTTTGGTTCAAGGGATGTGGGATTCTCATGGGAATGGAATCCACATTCCTATGTTTGGTTAGGCGGGAATCTCATTTCCGGTAATGTTTTATTACCAATAGTAGATTTTTTGGAGTATATTACCGTTAATGTCATTACCTCCATTTCCTTAGGTATTGTTAGATTACCGACGTTTTAGGCTAAAATGCCCTTAAAAAAATTTCTTCAAAAATATCTTTTTTCTGTCATTGAATAATAAAAATTCTACAAAAGTTAAACTACAAATTTATCCTTAAACTATTTTAGATTTACAAAAAAAAATCTATAATTAAAATTTTATATGAAGTTCAGAGGTTAAAATAAAATTTTACCCTTTTAGTAAACCTTTTTATATTTTCAATTTTGTAAAAAAATATAAATTTTATGAATTAAATTTTTTTAAAGAAAATATATAAATATTTTTCAACTTGTTAAAAAAACAAATATATAATAAGAATAATTTAGTCAAATATACATTCCAATAATCCTTTATTCCTTTAACCAAACACGGTAATCTTACATTCCTGCTAAGCCAACCAAACACAAAATACAACATTCTCAGTAATCCTATTCCCTGGTAATCTTACATTCCTACCGTTAATCTTACATTATGTGAACCAAACACTCTAAGGGTTTCTTTGATTCCAATTAGAACCCTATATAAGGGAGTGCAGATAAAACCAGATGCTTTAAGCAATACATCATTAATCCAGCCAAAAAGCTTTAAGAGGCACAAAGTAACCATATAATGAAAGCATAATGTAACAACTTGTGCAATCATGCCATCAAATAGAATCATAGAGAATCCAACTGAAAGTTTAGCTTGATTGCAATGAAGACCAACTTTAAAGGCAATTACTACATACTTGTTAGTCCACCTATAGACATTATTAGTTGCACTTTCTAGTCAAATCACGCAAGACCAGTAACACAAATGATCAGAGAGAAAACTTCAAAATATGCGGAGTAAACATTAACATTTTGATGATCTTTTAGCAGTTATGAAATCTACTTGAAGACCGGCTTATATTCCCTTCGATTTATACGTTGCTCTGCTTGTAAAGTTTGGTGTCAAGCATTTACTTCCCACGCATCGCACATATGCCTGCACTGCACACAACGCCCATCAGAGGCCACATTCACACCAAAAAACAGAAAATAACCAAATGACCAAGTTGTAGAGTATCAAGTTATCAATATAACATACCTTTCGAATAAGCACAAGTGTGACAGTACTTGGCATCTTGATACACTTGCTGCTTACATATGATACACTTGGTATTTCCATAAGGGGTCCATCTGCAGGAAATGGATTCCAAATCAAATCATGAAATTTGAAAAAAATGCAATCCAGAATCATGCATAAAAAATAAGGGAGACACTTAATCTATGTTACTCAAACTTGGGTGTGAATGTCAGATACAGCTGCTTATCACGAGCTTTGTTAGATTTTCCTAAGTTTCGCCATATATTTGGAGTCCTATATTACTTTTTCATCCATTAATATCCAATACAATATTTAATCACCAGTTACAAGTTGATTTAAATCACCGTTAATATAAGGGTCTTACACATTTGAATGGTGATGATCAGTCTATTGGATATTAGTGGATCAAAAAGGAATGAACTGGATCCAAACCCATTCGGCGGATTCATATCCTTCATATCCAATAGCAGCTAAAATCCTAAACACTAAGTTATGTTCTTGACCAAAAGCTTCAGTAATTAAGAGAACCCTAGAAAACGTAAGCTTGGAAGAATCAACGACAATTTACAGTAATAATCAAGTAATTCCCTAAAGAAATAAACTTATCAACAAGTATAGCTAAGAATTCTACCCAATTTTAACAAAATTTAAAATTTGCTCATGTTTTGTAAATTAGTAAATAAAAATTTTGTAAGACTGAATTAGGAGATGGCGAAAGAACAAACAGACCTTTGTTTTTTGGATAGGAAGTTATTCTCGTTGGTTCCGGCCACCGCTTTCGTTGGTGTTGCTGGCGCCTTACTTCCACTTATCTGGCACGATCACCTTCGATAGATTCTTCTGGCCTACAAATTAAATTGATCTAACACATGGGTTCTTTTTCTTTAAAATGTTCAGAGATTACACCAAATTGATCTGGAAATTAGTTAAAATTGCAGAGTAGAAAACTTACACTTGTCGCACACCATTGGAGTTAATTGTTTTTCTCTGTAAAATTCCCCCCTTTCAGTATTTCGAAATCGGAACCTAAGAAATATTTTGGGCGTTTGATTTAAGGGTAAAGTTCACATATGTCATTAAAGTATGATAGAACTAACTTTTTGTCTACTAAACAGTCTAAACTTTTAAAACTTATAAATCAAACATTAAACTTTTTTATTTGAGAGTAAAATATGCATAGTACTTAAACTATCAGTTTTAATCTGTTTTAGACCTAAACTTTTAATTTTTTAAATTCATACCTAAAGTTTAATTTTTATTTCATTTTAGTACATCATCGTTAACTTTTGAAAATAAAAGTCTAGGTACCAAAACACGTTTAGCACCTAAATCATACTTAAGTTTTGAAAAAAATTTAAAAATTTAGGTACTAAAACAGATCAAAACTGGTAGTTTAGCTACTAAACGCGCTAAGTTTTTAACAACAAGGTATTAAAATGAAACAAAAAGTAAACTTTAGCTATAATTTTAAAAAAATTAAAAGTTCAGGTATTAAAATGGACCAAAACTATAGTTTAGTACTAAATGCGTAATTTACCCTATTGGTGTGTTTGTTCCATGGTTTCCTGCTAGATGCTTTAATTTTGGTTGGAAGTTCATCTTTCGTTTATTTTTGTAGGTTTAATGCCCCTCAAAGCAGGTTCTGAAGAGTATGATGTGTTGTGTGTTTTGGAGAACAAGGCTGGTGACATTGTTGATAGGTAATGGTCGAATTTGGATGTCGTGGAAGAAAGTCTACAATTTTAGAGACTGTCTTGTTACTCATCACTTCGTTTCTGATAGAATATTCGTTGCTCATGTTTATAGTAGTAACGATGGGATGCTGAGAAGATCCCTTTAGCGTTAATCGAAGGATGTGGAAGATGCCTCTGTTTTTTGTCTCAGAGTTCTAATTTGGCTTAATATAAAAACAAGTGGTCAAATTATATCGTTTTTTTTAAATAGGAATAATTTTTTATATCAATCTAGGTGCCTAACGTTACTACTTTAGGTGTTCGGGCCGTAATCGCCTTTAAAAAACTCCATTATGTGACACGTGTCACGTTCTGGTAATTTTGAAATTTTTTATTTAAAACAAAAAATATATATAATTTTTTATTAAAAACCTAAAACTTTTGAACCGGTGACACAACCACCCGAAGAACCCTTTAATCGACGATTTAAAATTGACAAAAATAATCACAAAATTGAAGCTACCTGACGGCTCTGACAGCAACCACAACGGTTGGGACAAGGACGATTGACAATGGAGATAACAATGACGGCGACGACATCTATGGATGTGGTCGAAAATGAAGAAATTAGGGTTAGGGTTAGGGATTTGTTTGTTTAAGTTTAACTTATTTTATTTGTTTATGTCAAAAATTTATTTTATTTATTATATTTTTTCGAACTTGAGATCCAAATCAACTTATTTAAATTCAGTTTAATATTGTTTTATCAATTACTTTTCAATACACTAACCATCCAATACATCTGATTTTATTTATAATAAGAGACAGATGCGCCTAACGTGAGGGCAACTATCAACGTTTGATGTAATAATTAATCCAAATCACCAAACCATGTATCATGATGTCCAAAACCATAAAGCTTACACCCTTAGCTGTATTAGATTGCAATTTGACGTGGCCACAAACAAAACAAGTATTTTGTAAGATATGGAACATCAATCAAAGTTGCTTGACAGACATGAAAGATTCGCCCATGGGTTCTTCTTCCTCACTACCCTCAACAAGCACATATAAAACATCCCTTTCCAGCACCACATTGTTCTTGCAACCCTAAGTTTTAACTTCGGTTAATTGAACCGTCTTTTCGGAGTTTGAACTTGAATTCTCTCCTTAGTCCGCTATCATGGCTACTAAAATCAAAAAGTTGTACAAGAAATTCAAGTTCATTTCCCGAATCTTTGGTGAGTCTCGATATTTGATCTTAATTCGATTAGTCTTGTACGAATATGGGTTTGAAACTGAAATTTGAAATGGCGTTGTTATTGTTGCAGCTGTGAAGGAGCGAAGGATGGAAATTGGGCACCCTACTGATGTTAAGCGTGTGACTCACATCGGTCTAGATACCCCTTCCGACACCGCATCGAGTTGGGTATATCTCGACGCAATATTTGAATATTTAAGATTGATGCATGTCGATCGAAGATTTAAAAATTTCGTGTTTTACTTATCTCTTCCGGTATTTTATACAGGAGGATGAATTGAAGAAGGGCTTCTCCACCGATCTTACTGCAACTTCGGTCCATAATTCGAGAAGCTCGAATTTTACACTCTCGACGACGACATGGTCCTCTCAAGGTATGTTTTCAGTTTACCGATCACATATCATTCTGATTCAGGAAGACAATGAAAGATTATAGAGTTCTGATAAGATTTTCTTTTAACAGATTTTGAAGAATCAATGGGATGCAAATCTGCAACAGAGGAGGAGGAGAGACCTGCATTCCTTGGATCCTCCAAGTGTTTTTCAAGACGCAAAAAACAAAGTGTTTATCCTTAAAATCTTGGACAACATAAGAGACCAATGCTACAACAGATGATGGTGGAAGAGTGTTGCTGTTGATTTGAATGGATGATCAGTGATCAATATGTACTACTCAGGATCAAGATGCACGTGTAAGACCCCAAAAAATTGTGCAAATTTTATTCTTTAATATTTAATTTTAGAAAGGATACAGTATGTTAAGCGTGTATTACATTAAAAAATAGGAAAGAATTAAATTATATTGGTAGATCGTTCCCCCCCCCCCCAAAATTATCGAACGATATACAAACATCGCTAATGACGTTGAAAAATAAATAATTTTAACACTATCAAATATGTATATAAGAATGATGTTACGTTCACAATTTAATTTTTTTTCGCAACTTAATCACAATCATCAATAAAAAAATTATTTTGATGCTTTAAAAAAACTATTTTGATGCTTTAAAGTATGAGTAGATCAAAAAATAAACGAAAACCGGAGAGGCGTGTCAAATCAAACATTAAAAAAAGAAAAGAAAAAATGTGTTATCATAGTAGACAAAGAACATACTATAAGAGGAGATAAAATTATTCATCATTTTCATACGAAAAAATAGAGACTAATTAAACAAAATAAAAAATAACATAAATCAACATACCTCAGTGGTTAAAGAAATCGTTGTTGTTTCTAGAGGTCACGGGTTCAAGCACCAGTGACTATAAGGATGATTAAACGTTCATTGTCAAACAATTGAAAATAATTAGAACATATTAAAAGTCAACGGATTAATCTATTATTAGAATAACTTATATTAAAACTTCGGAGAAAAATAATAATAATTCAGAATATTGGGCTCCAAACTCATTATTGCAAATGTGAACTTGAGTAGAACAAGCTAACTTCAAAATTCAGTCATACGTTAATTAAATGGGCCGGGCTCCGTTTCGGCTCCAAGCTCGAGCGTCTTCTTCAACATCCTTTGTGTAATAGGTTCGAAGTATATTGGATCAATTTTAGGTAGTCTTACATTTAATGGATACTTCATTTATATTTACTATATATAACCTTTTGTTGATATAATGGATTGACCGGAAATAATCAAAATATTTTGAATAATAATATATTTTTTTATCTTTTCATATTTGTGTAACTATTTAATCAAATAACTAAGAATCATTGCTTAAATTTCGAACATAAGATCAATGAATCCCATATACACAAGGATGGATGGAAGGGACTGGGTATAGATCTGATAAATTTGACTTATATCCGATTATGTAAATCGATTTATTTGATCCGAGATATGATATAGACTCAAATAAGATGACCTAAAATTGATTCGAAATTCGAAATAGTTCGAATCAAATTGAAATTGACCTGAATTTTAATTGGACCAAAAGCAAACCGAACCGAAAGCAAACCCAATCGAAAGCAAACATGATTTAGTTTGCAAATATCATATTAGAATCAAATTTTGACCTGATAATTGAGTCTAAGTGAATGAATAATTTATTTATTTTATTATTAATCTATTTTTAGCATTGACAAATAGTAAAAATATATATTTTTATTCTCATTTTATATTATACTACTCGTTAACCACCACTTCTAGTAATAGTTTAATAGTTCAATATAATATTTCCTCAGTTAAAAGACAATCTCTATATATGATGAAATAACTTATAGTCTGAATTTTGACTATGACAATATATATTCATATAAATTTCTTGATTTTAAAGATTTATTTTTTCGATTGATTAAAACTAAAACTTCTTGCTCTGAATTTGAGATGTGACAATACATATTCACATAAAATTCTTGAATTATAAGTAATAAAGAGAAACACCGAAAGTTATGGCACAAAGAGCGTTAACGATTGACCTGAAAATCTAAAGGTTGACTCGAATTGACCCAAAAGCTAATGGTTGACCTGAATAGAAACCAACTGATATGATATTAAACCGACTCGAAGCTAACCGATTCAATATTAACCCGACCAGAAAATCAATATATTCAATTGTGACCCAACTCGAACTAAATTTTCATAGACCCGAACCAGATCTGATCTGACCCAAACCAAATCTAAACTAAAATAGTCTAGATCCGAAATGACCCGGCCAAAATCCAATCTGAATGACTCGATTGCCACCTCTGGTGGGGGTAGATGTCTCTTGAAAATTTCAAATTCTTATATATTTTAGATTTTTGTTTATTATTAAAAATTTGTTTTCGTCCCCTAAAATTTTATAAGTGTGCTTCTCTTTATAATTTTATAAGTACACTCCTTAAAATAAAATCTTGTTCCATGCATATATATATATATATATATATATTACTCTAAAATTTATATGCGTAGTTTTGAGAATATTAATCCAAACATATATGTAGCAAGTTTCAAAATCTTAAAATTTTAAATTAAAAATTGATTATGTGAATGAAATTTTTAATATAAGGTTGGAAATATTTATACTTTAAAAAAGGAAATAAGATTTAGAATGAACCCTAAACGGCGAGGAACCCTAAAGTTAATTCCAGGAAACCATGGATCAATGCACGATCCAAAACTTTTATGATCGACTGACGCTCTTGATAAAACAATATAGTTTTTGTATTTGGGTATTAAATATAATTGGTACGTATATGTATTGTATAGTAAATGCGTCTGATTAAAGAAATTAATACACTAAGATAGTTGGTGGAACAAATTCATTATATTCACTCTCCTTTCCCAACACAAACTCATTGTAGTAGAGAACAAAAAAAAAATGGAATTGCTAGATCTTTTCATCATTTGTTTCACACTCATCTTCCTCCGTCTATGGTGGCGCCACTGGTCAACCACCGGTGGCGTACCCAAGAACCTCCCTCCGGGGCCACCTGGATGGCCACTAGTCGGGAACCTGATTCAAATCATCCTCCAACGTCGGCATTTCATTTTCATAGTACGTGAGTTACGTAAACTATATGGTCCGATTTTCACCATGCAAATGGGGCAACGCACCATGGTGATTGTTACGGACTCCAGGCTTATCCATGAAGCCCTAGTTCAAAGAGGTCCCGTGTTCGCCTCACGGCCATCGGACTCACCGATCCGTCTCGTGTTCAGCGTTGGGAAATGTGCCATCAACTCGGCCGAATACGGACCTCTATGGCGAACCCTAAGGAAGAACTTTGTTACCGAGATGATAACACCTGCGAGGGTGAAACAATGCAGCTGGATCCGGAAATGGGCAGTGGAAAACCACATGAAGAGAATCAAATGCGATGCTTTCGACACCGGTTCCGTTGAGGTGATGAGCAACTGTAGGCTCACTATATGTAGCATTTTAATCTGTTTATGTTTCGGTGCGAAGATCTCCGAGCCACGGATTAAGAAAATCGAAAGCATATTGAAAGATGTAATGATGATAACATCGCCACAGCTACCGGATTTCTTGCCGATTCTAACTCCATTGTTTCACCGGAAAATGAAAGAAGCTAAGGCACTAAGGAAGAAGCAGTTGGAGTGTTTGGTCCCATTGATAAAAAACAGAAGAGCTTTTGTGGAGAATGGTGAAAACCCTAACCAAGAAATGGTGAGTCCGATCGGTGCAGCTTATATAGATTCGTTGTTTCGACTCGAACCGGAGACCCGGGGTCCGTTGGGTGATGAAGAGTATGTTACTCTATGTTCCGAGGTGATTAGTGCCGGCACCGATACGTCTGCGACAACCGTGGAGTGGGCCATGCTTCACTTGGTGACCAATCAAGCAATCCAAGAGAAATTGTACCAAGAAATAATTGATTGTGTAGGTAAAAATGGGGAAATCAAAGAAGAAGATGTGGAAAAAATGACATATCTTGAAGCTGTGATTAAAGAAACATTCAGGCGACACCCTCCGAGTCATTTTCTTTTATCCCATGCAGCTATAAAGGACACTGAGCTCGGCGGCTACACGATTCCGGCAGGGGTCCATGTTGAGTTCTACACTGCATGGATCACAGAGAATCCGGATATATGGTCGGATCCAGGAGAGTTCCGACCTGAAAGATTCACGGACGGTCATGGGGTTGACGTCGATGTGACCGGGACTCGAGCAGCAAAGATGTTGCCATTTGGGGCCGGACGACGGATCTGCCCGGCTTGGAATCTAGGCGTTTTGCACATAAAGTTGTTGCTTGCGAAGATGGTTCAAGCTTTTAAGTGGCTGCCGGTACTGGATTCTCCGCCGGACATGACCGAGACTTATGCTTTCACTGTTGTGATGAAGAACCCTCTCAAGGCTTTCATCTTGCCTCGGCAAGGAATTGAAGCTTGAAGAACTCCACCTATCCACGTTAATTAGCAAGACTTTTTATGTTATGGTTTGTTGGGGTGTTTAGTAATGCATTTCACGTTTGATATTAATTAATCCCTTATAGTTGTTTTCTTTTTCCAAATTATAAAATTTTCGGAATAGGGTTTAAACTTTCTAAATAATTATTGTTGAGAATTTATATTTGTTTTCTTTTACCATGATTTCCATAACAATGATTCATACTATAGTTAGCATGGATTGATTGATGACCAAATCCTATGGTTGAAGCCAATTCCATAACAACAATGGGGAAGAGTGAAATAGCTATTGGATCATTGAACCAATTTGATTGGAACTATAAAGTAATAAAGAAAAGAGTGTGGATCCGCTGCCATTAACATTAATGCGAGTAGAAGCTCTACTTTGTTGCTAAAACAATTAGAACTCCATTGAAGAATGGAGGTGTTGTTAGCTGGGGAAAATATATACTCCTTGCTTTACATGTTCTTGGAGACCAAATGCATAATGTTACGAGTTACGCAAAAGATAATGATAAACAAACCATTAATATACATTAATTTATAGTATTATGGAGTTAAGAATAGTAGTAATTCAGTGATAAGGTAGATGAAGGTAATAAATGTAGGGCCAGAATGCAGAAGAAAAATGGCAGCAGTACCATTGACGATTTGCTTTGATGTACACCCAACTGCTACCTGCCATCGCTGTTAATGATCTGCCAACAACAAACAAATCAACCACTAAAACAAGTAAATGTACGCACTGTCTCTCAGCATTGCCCATTCTTCCGGACTATATAAAATTACTTCATATATGATCGAAACAGAAGACAACATATATATATAATCTGTCTGCCTGCGTTTACTTTCCCACATAAAATATTGTCAGCCCTAACGGATAAATTTAAGATTTGAACATGTTTCATGTTAATTAGATCATAATTAAGATCCAATGCTGTTGAAAAAGGTTAAACTAACATAAAATTTTGATTAATATAATTATTTTTTATCCCATAAAATTATTTTTCTTCTAAAAGTCATATGTAATAAGATGCGTTACGTCACTACTTTTAAATTTCAATAATTTTCATTTTCATATGAAAGCTATATACACTTATCACCCTTGTAATCAGTTTATATATATTTTTTTTGAAGTGCAAGGCGTGATATTCTCTATCACTTAATTTTGTGATACTTTTATCATAAGTTTATATTTATAATTAATTTACCTTATCTGTCAAAAAAAGATGTAAAATTAGACAAATCGAGTTAAATTGAATTTAGATAACAACATAAATGAAATTATTAATGTAATATTGTTAGGTTAATAAAGGAGTAGAGAGAAGGTAGGTGAAAGAAATAAATTGGGAAGTTGGGGGCAGAGTTAAAGTGGGAAGTGGTACGATATCTTATATTTAATACCGAATCGTGCCTTGTTTGGACCCATTGAATTTTGTTGATGTGAATCAAACAACATTATACATTTGCACTATCACAATCAAATCACTGCCCAGTTTATAATGATACTTATCTATAATTTAATTTTTTTTATTGAGAAATTAGTTTATGAATCATTTCCATCACATCATTAATAATCCCGATCAATTAAAAGAAGTTATATCAATTTTTTCCATGTCATTTATGGTCTAAAGTCGAGTACTAGAAACATTTGTTGTTGAGAGATTGTCTTTTGATAATTCAAAAATCTCATCAATCAGAAATTGAAATCGTCGACTATCACGATTTTCATGTATTTCTATCATGGTTTCCTTTTTCCTTAGCTTGTTCATCCTTTTAAGTGAAATATTTCTTTTGCCTGCAATTTTGAAACTTCACCATTAACACCAAAATCATCTTCATTGTAAATTTCTCCATGCAAAGTTGAAAGAAAAACTTACAAAATATGATGGTTTAAAGACGAGCACTTAAAAAATTACTTGAGTTTGTATAGACATGGAGAGCAATATTTCTGTTACAACTTAATTGCTTATTTAGAGCACTCAAAAACCACTTTGCTTCTTTATGTTGAACAATTCATCCACTCCGATCAAAATTCACAAATTCAAGTTCATCAACGTATTTAACCGATAGGCTGCTGAAAAGGTTACGGGTTAGTTGAGTTTGGAGATTAAAGTGAAGAAAATGGAGATGAATGGTTTAGGAATAAATTCCATGAATCGAAGAGCTGTGGATACACTCAAGCATCCATAAAAAAATGGCCTATTTGTCTATGTGCAACAAACTAAATCATCATCATCTAGTCATCCACCACTGAATCAATCAACTAGTTCACCTCGGGAATGCTTTGTAACTCCGGCTTCCACGGCCGAGGCTGCTCCTCCCCGTCGTCACCGTTAACCATATTGGCCAGGACTTGTCTAAGTGTCAAGCCCTGCATTTCCACCTGCTGCGCCAATACCTCCAGCTCCTTCTTCGAAATAGTTATCTTCATCTCTCTAGTAGACGTGTTTGTATCCCGCTTGCGGCTGAGCAACATCTCCTTCTCCACCGTGCTCGTACCCCCACCGTTATCTCCTTCCCTTTCTCTGTAAATGGACAGCAAAGATCCCCAGTCATCATCATTATCATTAACCCGAGACGCCTTTTGCCGCCTAATACAGTTCCCCATGACTGGTAATTCTTTGTGCAGCAGAGCAGTTGTAGGGAGAAGAAGAGATTTTTAACATGGAATGGGTTACTGTATTTATAGAGAAAGAAAGGTCAGGTCGCCGTTCAAGGTGGAGCATTAAACACGTTAATTAAGAATATAAATAAGTATATAAAACCAAATTTCTTCGGGATTTCTCATATTAATATGTGGAAAATTTCTCATATTTTCGTGTTCAATTTGTGGGTCGTAAACTTTGACCACCGTGGGGCTTGGAGATTGCATGATGAAATATCCAGGTAAGTCATGGGTTTGTCACTAAAGTCAAAGAAGGATGGCCTTCGTGAGGGAATAAATTGCTTCCTTTCTTGTTTCTTTGTTTGTTTGGTCGGTCTACGTTGCTTTTCTTCCTTAACTTTTGCATGCAATTACTTCATTAACATATAGCGTATAGATTTGGTAAATTACAAATTTATCTTCGTTCCTGATTTGATTATTAAAATTTATATATATTTTTGAACTAATTATTGGAATATGATTTATTAACCGACTAATCTAGATCGGATACTGCAAATGTAAGCGCGATCTTCCCAACCTAGCTTGCTCTATTCACAAACGCTATGGTTTAAACATTGACCTTACTTAAAGAATATGATGTCTCGTACTATTAGACCAACATGTTGTTGGTAAAATTTATATATTTTAATTTAATAACTAAAGTTTAAATTATTCTTATTTTGAACATTCTATCATTAAATCTTGAAAGTTGTGATGATATGATTTATTTTATTAATATTTTATTATAATACGATTTATTTTAATAATATCTTATGACATGTAAGATTTAAAATAAACAAATTAAAATTTTAATATTCTAATCTTAAAGCTTCATAAGTCATTACAAACCTCAAATCTTTACTGCTTTCGTCTTTATTATCTCAAATCATAAATCGTCATCATACTACCCTAAACTACAAACCCTATTATAACACCATAGCCCGTAAACATCTAAGAAAAGGATACTAAACTATTTTTAAATCTTTCTATTTTCAACCTTTTTAAACTAAACTATCTATATCTACTTGAACTTTCGTATCATTTAAAAAACATAATATTTTATTAATACATATTTTAGGCATATTAAAAACTGATAAATTAAACAAGTCAAATTAAACAAGTCAAATTAAACAGTACAAATTTACTATTACATACCATATAGTCATAGCTGATAAAGCAGACTATTAAACATAATTATACATGTCACCACTAGTCAAAAAATCAGTGATGTCTTACTGATATTAATATTATAGATGATGTGCACGCGATGCGTGGGAGGCTCCTCACAAAACGTCTGTGTCTCAATCCGACCCTACACATGAAAATCATCATGCACTAAGTACAACTTAGTGAGACAATAATTAAAGGTGAGAATAAATAAATAAATTATCGAAATATATAAAATCATTAAAAATAAAATAGGCGGAATTTTCAGAATGTTCAAACCCTAAACCCAAAACCTCTTCATTTTAATAACTTGTAAATAATTCCCCAAGGTTTTGGGACCTTTCGAATTCCACCTCTAAATTTTACCAAATTTGCAATTTGGTTTCCAAACAACTTTCCAACTAAATTTCAGCATTACAAATATCAAAATTCAACATTGATTCCTTCAAATATTACATTCTTGCAATAATATCCCACAATTTCAAAAACTTGTAAACTAGACCTTTTACACTTTTAAGGTTCCAAATCAATCTCCAAATCACATGGAACACTTCTAATATCATTTCTATTTCATAGGAAATTTTTCAACATTTTCCCCTAATTTTCTTCCCTATGGCCAAATACTTTATATCACATAGGGGGAACTTTTAGTTTAATTTCAAGCATGAACTCAACCTCATATGATCAAATTCATGCATTTCCAATCATCACAACATCAAATTGAATAAAAAACCTAACACTTCCATAAACCCTAATTAAGCCAAACCTTATATATGCATGTACAATTAATTTTAATCATCATACATGCTTTGGAAATAATCAATAACATCAAAAACATAAAAATCCTCTATCAATTCTTCAAAATCACTAAACCCTTAAACCCTAATCATGAAATCTCATCACACAATCATCTTCACCATGAAATATTGGTATCAAATGATAGAGAATTTCATGTAGATTAATTCTCTATCTAAAAGCTAAATCCAAAAATCAAGTATATTCCTTCAAAAAAAAATATTACTTATGGAGAGCTTGAAGTTTCGGCAAAATGAAGAAAGAAGCTGAAAATGTGTTGATTTTCTTGATTATTCTAGTATATAAAATATAAAATACATGACATTTTCTTATTAATTGAATTTAATATTCAATTAATGAAAAATCTCAAAAATACCCTTAATAAATCTTGAAAATTACCTAATGCCATTGTATTATCTTCCATTAAAATATTCCTTGGTCAAATATGAATCAAATTGGCTTTGAATTACTAATTTAGCCATGCAATTTTCAAAATTGCATTTTAGTCACTAAAATTCCACTGTTCCGAGTCAAATTTCTCTGATATAAAATATGAAAATAATATTTTCAAACATTTTATAACATCCTTCAAATTTTTGTATAATTCTAGTTTGATTTGATTATCCAATTTCAATACCGAATTTTACCGCTTTTTAGCTTTTAACACAATTTTCGTACCGAAAATCTGATTCTCATAAAAATCCTTGTTTTAAACCAAACTGTTCATTTACAGGCTAAAATATATAACTTTTAAAAATTACAATTTCGTACCTTAACTTTCAAAGTTTATACTTTAGCCACTAACTTTTCAAAACTTACATTTTAGTCACTAGACAAAATTTGGGATATTACACTTATTAACATCGATATCCTATACTCTAAATCACATCACCAAATCAACAAATGACAAATACATCTGATCATGGAATTAGTATTGAAATCCAACATTGTAACCAACTAAGTGAGCTCTTCACTCACACGTGCGGCCAGACCTTGATCTATAACTAGATTCTATCAGCAATGTATGATTTTTATTAAAGAAAAATGATCGAACAATATCACCTTATACCTCATCAAAAAAAACTCTCCAATTAGAGGAGGAAAAAAAGCACATAAAGATGAACGAGGTTACAAAAGAAACGCCTACAAACAACACCCTTGAATACAAATGCAAAACCCAGAGAAATGGACACAAACGCATAATCTAAAAACAAAAACAACGAAAAAATCATGAATAAAAAACCAAGTGACAAGACCACCAAACAAATACGATTAAATTTTTCAAATGTCGAATTCGCTAGAGGGAAATGGTCCTAAATAACCATCAACAAAAGCTGAAAGTTTCTCCCCTTCACTATCCAACATAAAGATCAAGGATTAACCTGCAAAAAGAATACAACCTCCCAACAGACTTATAATACTAGATCCTAATATGGTAGAAGCATAATTTGCGAACTCGCACCAGTCCCTACTTAGCCTGTCAACTACTACTCGACATCTAGTATAATATTTCAACATCTTATCTCATTATATTCATAGAGTGCGAGATGATTTGATTAAAGGATATAAAATTTGCATTTAGAAGTACATAATGAATTTAGTAAAAGAATTTAACACTCATTGATCTGTTGCGGAAGACGACTATCTGATAGAGCAAAATCGCAACTGATAATTTGAGAAAATAAAATGAAGATAAAGAGACACAAAATTTAATTGGAAAACCCCTAAATAATATAGGGTAAAAACCAAGGGCAATGGTAGAAGAATTTCACTATGAGAAAATAGAATTACAACTTCTCTCGATCTAAGGAGAAAACAATGATAATTCTCTCTTGATAAAAAAGTAAACAACTCTCAAGAACTCTCTAAATCTTTAGTATTGGAAGAAAGCTAGAATGCTTTGGGATGGTTTTGAAGCTAAATGAGCTAGGGTATTTATAGTTGAAGCTTAAGGACTAATCTTATAAATACCTAAAGTACAATGACTAAATTATGATTTTACCATTGTCCAAAATTCAACTAAAAATCCATGCTAACTTTCGGTGCCCTTAAAAGTGTGTGACAATTTTAATACTTTTTTTATAAACTTTCCACCGAAAGTTATCTGGATTTTTCAATAATCTCCCACTTGAAGATTTGATTGAAAATCATATTTTCACACCATTCTTTCTACCTTGTACCTTCATATTGCTTACGTCTCTGACAGGCCACAAGAGATCGACCAGGTAAATTTATCAGCATTTATTGCCTTCATCATGAAATCTGCTATGTTATCTTTGGTATGGATTTTCTGCATATCTACTGTCCATTCTTCCACTTTTTCACGAATGAAATGGTATTGAACTCGTATGTGCTTTTTCCTTGAATGAAATATTGGATTCCTTGCTAAATGCAAGGCGCTTTGACTGTCACAAAACAGAGACATACTCTTGATTGTTCCCAAGCTCCTCCAATAGCATCTTCAACCAAATTGCTTCTTTACTGGCTTGTGTAGCTGCTACATATTCTGCTTCTGTTGTGGATGTAGCCACAACTGACTGCAATTTTAAAACCCGACTTACAACTCCACTAGCAACTTTGAACACATATCATGTTGTAGATTTACTTTTATCTAAATCCCCTGCATAGTTAGAATCTACATACCCATTGATTAGTAAGTTTGATCCTCCGTAACATAATGCAATATTTGAGGCCCCTTTGATGTATCTCAGGATCCTCTTTATTGTATTCCAATACTCTTTGCCTGGATTCGCCATGTATCGACTAACCACTCTCACTGCTTGTGCAATGTCTCTTATGCATATCATAGCGAACATTAAACTTCCCACTACCGATGCATACGGTATTCGAGACATCTTCATCCTCTCTTCTTCACTGCTAGGACTCATACTGGAGGATAATTTGAAGTTAATAGGAAGGGGTAGAATTGGCTTACAATCTTGCATGTTAAATCTTGACAAGATCTTCTTCAAGTAATTCTTTGTGAAAGCCAAATCTTCATA